TTACCGTGACGGTCTCAACGGAGCGGAGGCAGCTTGGGCAGCAAAGAAGTATGCTAGTCATCGTGGCCTTCCCCCGAGGGCGATATTTGAGCGCGCGGACGTCGCGACACCTGAATAGTATACGGAACTTTCATTTCCACGCTTTTATGCACTCGCGCGCCGCGCGCGCACTCACTATCCTCCTGTGTGTTCGGGATGGTGTACACTGTGCGCGCATTCTGGCGCCTTTCAAGCGGGGGACTTATCTGGCGTCTAGCGCAAAGATAACTGATCCGAGCGCCGATCTCACGTGCTCTGCCGGGCGTCAGCATAGGGGCGAGCTGTGACTGAGCCCAGCCTTAAGTAATCCGCATTACGCGAATCTTATCTCGTGGATGTGCGACTCCAGATCCTCCGAGCACTATACCGTATAGTGGGGACAGGCAACGCCCGCCAGCCTTGATCACGACGGGCAACGGCCTAGCTTCGGAGCTCGAAAATGCGTAGAAAAAGACTGTGAGAGATGACATTTCCAAGGGCACAAAAACAGGAGCTAAGGTGACCTTTTCTCCACCTTGTTCGACAATAACACAGGTTATTACTTGTAATTACTTCTGTGTTACTCGCATACTATACACGTTCTATTGTCTTTGTTCTTAGTTACATCAAGAAAAGGTCACCTAAGCCTCCGTTTTTGTCCCCTTGGAAATGTCATCTCTCACAGTCTTTTTCTACGCGTTTTCGAGCTCCGAAGCTAGGCCGTTGCCCGTCGTGGATGTGCTTGTATATGTTTACATTTCGGCCTTGACGCCCATTCTGATGGTCGCGCAAGTCGTAACGATTTTATAGCCCAGCAAAGACACCAATGAGCTGGAATTGTGGAGATATTCGCCCTGAGAACACGGGGCAATGTGTTCTTATAGATATATTGAGGAAGAACTGCCGTTTATCTTTTTATCAAGACAATAACTCGACCATTAAGCTAGATGTCAACATGAAATGAATAAGACCACATGCCCCCAGTAACTATAAACGCATGTGAGCTTGACTCAAGGGGTGCGGGCTTATCCCCGTGCCAAAAAAATCGCGCGCAGTGGTGGAGGGGAGCGCGAGGGCGCTTAGATCCAGTCGCGCGCGGGTGCCCCACGGACGACGCGTCGGATGCGGTCACGTGCCCATGATGTGCAGAAGTCTCTGCAATCTTTTGTGCGTCGCAGTACCCCTCCTCCACACTTTATCGTGTCAAAGCGTGTCACATCATCTACTATGCGCTGCTTAATATGTGTGAGAATATTTCTGCGCATTATAAACCACATTTAGATTATGTACATTCGTTCACTTGTCAGGGAGGCTCTGCCAGCAGGCCAGAGAAGCAGCGCCTGGAAAAGCTCAACGCGCACCTGCTCTCAAAGGTAGTAAGAATCGCACGGCTCAACAATTTATTTGGACAAAGCCAAATCCAGACTGCGCAAGGCCGCGCAGACGCGGTGGGTTGTGGATGGGGGGCATATCAGGAGTATGAACCTTACACGTACGGTTGGAGAAGCAGTTGGAGATCTACATGCAGGTCTACGAGGATGCTTAGGTTAATTTGAAGACCCGCATCGATAAGCAAGACGAAATTGCGTCTCTGTTCTCTGCGATTGAGCGCGCCCGCGCATCCGCCGAGGCCTAGCAGTCATAATGCGCGACTGGGCGCGCGCGCCTCTCGCGCACCCTCGCACACCCTCGCGCGATCAAGCGCTCAGCGCCACCGCGACCATCGGCAAGGTCATTCCGTGCTGACTAAGCTGACCACGGGCTTCGCTGGCGTTGCCCGTCCCCATACTATACCCATGATATCAATGATTTCATTGAGTTCACTCCGCTCGAAGATGAATCCACGCCCGTTCGCATAGGCTCGAGAACCACCCGATCGGTAAACAACCCGACTTTCAGGCTGAACTGTTGGGGTTCAGCGGAGTTTGAAAGTCGGGATGTTTCCCGACGGGCTGGTTCAATTCGGAGGCCCGTTTAGGGGGACGTCCCAAAAAGGCAACGAGATGCGTTGGACTTGGTGAAATCTCGCGTTTCGCGCTCCAGGAGATGCGCGCGCGCGCGTCCGTCCGTCCTGTATACCGCTGCGCGAGAGCCTCAAATTGATTGTACATGCTACATATAGTCGTCTACATCTAACGAAGGGTGTTCTTCTTCTGCAAAGATGTCGTCCTCGTCACCTTCAGCATCCTCTTCAAACAGGTCCCCCACTTGCTCGGCCACGCTCCCGACCCCGGACTCAGCCTCCTCGTATGACAATATTAAGTCCCCAAGCTACGCATAGTGCATTGATTCCTCACCTGTATCTCGGTAGACAGAGTTTGTGTGCAGACCACGGATGACTTGCCACGAAGAGATGTCCCCGTGCGCCGCCTCCCTCCGAGTCGGCCCCTAGACGTGCCCCGCTGGACCTATGTCAGGGGTTTCAACACCTTCCTCTCCCCATCTCTTTCGCCCTCCCCCGTGCCCTGCAATGGCTCGTGCCCCGCGCTCTCGCCGACAACCACCTAGGCACTCTCCCCGTGTGCGGCCCATCGACCGCCCATTTCTGACTCCCGAAGAAGTTGAAGACCTCGCATCCCGCCTGAGTGCCGCATTTGGGTGGGATGGACCTCCACGCGACTTTCAACTCGCAGCCATCCGTGCGCAAATTGAGGGAGTCGACATCATTGTTCAAGCCCCGACTGGCTCTGGCAAGACTGCGCTCGCTGCAGGTCCTCATGTATGGCCGAAATTTAAACGGAAGGTGACGATCATGGTTTCCCCACTACTTTCTAATTCCTAGCCCTGTATTAAGGTCGACACATTCAAAAACGACTTTGGGCTGGATGCTGTAACACTTCATAGCAAGAACGGAGCGTGCTCACCGGTTGTGATCAAGGTCTGTCAGTGCTTCCAACCCCGAGTTGTCATGACCTCACAGCCAGTTTGGCGCAGCAAATCTTGGCCCTTGAATATTGGGTCATCATTGTCTCACCGGAAATGCTGCAATCCCGCCGAACATTTATCGACAAGATCCTTCGGAACTCGGCCTTCATGCGAAATGTCATCTCATTGTTTATTGACGAAGCTCACTGTGTTGTCCATTGGGGAGCCGACTTCCGGAAAAAGTACGGTACTATTGGCAGCACTCGCGTATTTCTCCTCCCTGGTACCCCGGTCATTGCCGTCACTGCCACACTCACCGCTCGTGTTCGAAGAGCCATTCACTCCTCACTCCTGATGGGCCAGTCTGAACGACGAAGCCGCTTTGAGAACAAGGGAAACGACCGACCAAACATTTCAATTATCGTGCGCGCATGTGAACACCCTTTGAACAGCTTCGCCGACCTCAACTTTGTCGCTCCTTCTGTTATCAGACGGCCGACGGATATTCCCAAGACATACATCTACGTTGAAAACATAGATGTCGGGGCCCAAATTGTTGACTACCTGAATGAGCGCCTGCGCAACATCCTCGACACGCAGCCACCAATGCCTGACCCCGTCCGTATCCCATCGACCATGCTTCTTTCCGCTCCTCCACCATCCCGCCCCGGTACCGACCCCCCGTCAGCATTGCAAGACTCACAACCACCCTCGACGCCATGTACCGGACTTGTACGGCCCTTCAATGCGCATATGTCCCAAGAATATCGCAAGCTATCCATGGCGCGCTTCCGTGAGGGATGGATCCGGATAATGGTGTGCACAGATGCCGCCGGAATGGTATGTTCTCGTTTATGTCTTTCAGTTCTGTCTGACGGGATATTACAGGGAGTGAACGACCCTTCAATTGCTCTTGTGGTGCTGTGGAAGCTCCCGTCAACGTTCTCGCACTACATACAACGAGCCGGGCGAGCAGCACGCGGCCCCGGGACCCACGGAGTTGCCGTCTTACTGGTGGAACGGTCCGTTTTCAGCCACGACATCGTCAACATACCCAGGCCAGATGACAAGCTGCCTGCTGCCACCAAGAGAGGACAGAAGGGGAAGGGGAAGGGATTGCGTCGGCCGGCAGGAAGCGCCAAGCGCAGTGCGAAGGCCATCCGGGAGTATGCTATCGCACACGGTCTCCTTCGGGGCGGATATTCGTGCAAGGACGCTGTACCGACAGGTACGCCACCGGTTATCGTGCGCGGGACGTCCGGGGATCGTTTTTGTCTCTGTGGCCGCCGCTCCGGCCGTCCCCGCGGGCCGATGATCAATCGATCACGTGTGTCCTTCACTAGCGTAGTAGAGAACCGGCAAAGCGCCGCCAGCCTTTCGGACTTGCAATCTGACTCCATCCGCTCAGCTCACTGTAGCACATATATTCTGCGTGCAATCTAAGATTATAGAGTGGGAAGCCGTATAATCAATGAAAATTACGTACTTTTAGAGCATCTTTGCGTCCCCATCCCCTGCTACGCTCTCATTCGAATACTGCCCAAGTCAGTTGAAAGGGATGTGATTATTGTAGGAGAAGATGCGTCGGCCGTCCTGAGTGCCTAAGTTATTGTGCACGGCTGGTGAGACACGACTGACGCAGGTTCATAGAGCTCATCCTCATCGCCTGGCACACCGCGCGTCGCGTTGACGCAGAGACTCCGTATGACGTCTCACTCTCTTCCCCCCAGGTACCCTTGCTTGACAAATACGATGCTGTGGGGCTAATGGATGCAACAACCTGTCGCCCGAGGTCCATCCAGTGGGAATGGCGCCCCGGGCAGCGGCGGTACCGGGGGCGGCCCCTCGCCCTCTTCGATCGTGGGGGCACGATTCCAACGCTGCAACCGGGTCCCCTTCTCAGTGCGCGGGCGAGTCGTAGTCTTGTCATCCTCCAACAGCGCGGCGAGGTCGCCTGGAGTGAGTTTTTCGTTCGCGGCGAGCAGTGAGTGTCGATTGCCCGCACCGGTCCCCCCGCCACTCCGCGCTCACGGATGGTGTCGCCGGTCATCTTGGAGATGTTGTACGTCGAGAAGCACTTCGACGCGCGCCGCTCGAGCGCCTCGGCCTTCCGAGTGCCGCGAGCGACGTTTGGACCGCGGGAGCCTGTTCGAGCGGTACACTGTCGATTGGGGGCCGTTGGGCGCCGTCGAGGGTTCCAGGGGTGGCGGCGACAACGTCGCACTCGCCTTGACCACGACGGCGGGGTGAGGAGCCTGAGGGACGGGTGCGTCCATGAGCGGAAACCGCTTGACAAGGCTCGGCATGGGGGTTTGTGTTGGTGGGGCAGCGGGAAGATCAGACGGGGGTGGGGGAGCTCCAAACCCATTAGTTTGGGCCGCTGCCTACGCGGGTCGGGCGGGAAGTTGGGGTCGGTGGAGGAGGTGGAACATGCACGAGGAAGCGGGACAGATGCAGAGGAGCTGACGAACTGGCGCTGCCGTACAGGTGTTGACGAGCGCGCTGGCCGTGGGGTCTTCCGGGATTGTGCCCGGGGCTGCAAATCCGCCTATAAACGGCTCCAGCTGCGCGTTCGGCATAGGCAGGGAAAACGTGCCGTTCTCCTGGCCCGTCGGTCTTCGTCGTTGAGGTGCACCCGAGTTCGACGGGGTGGTGCTTCGTGGGGGAGTGTCTTTGGAGGGTGCGAGGACTGGCGCGATATACTGCCCTCGGATCCCGCACGCTCCGTGAACTGCGGGAGTCGCGATTGCTACCGTTTATGCTCTTTCGGTTGGAGACGATGCACAGATATATTGACTACTTACCGTGCCGACCTTGGAGCAATTTTGCGCACCTTGACGTTTACGCGCGGCGAGTGGTCTGAGAAGTTCCATAGCGCCGCGGGGTGGTGTTGGCGTTACCGGTGCTGGTGCTGGTGCTGATGACCGCCGAACAACGACTGTACATCGGGGCCCGCTGCTGACATAGAACCCGTATGGGTAGAAGCGAGGGCGGGTGCCGGCCTGGAAGATTGAACGCGAAGTCGTCCGAGCCTATGGCGACCATTGGCGAGTGCCCGCCGCGGGGCGTCCGCATCTATAAGGGGCTGTCAGTGACGTGTGGCGTCGTCTCTGGGACGGGCACCACGTCTGAATCTGAGGAGCCCGCGGGGGGCGAGTACGACATCCTCATCAACGCGCGTTCTCCGCGACACAACGCAGGAGAACGTCGCACCGTCGCTGTTCGTGGGCGCCTGTTTCCCCAGCCCGCCGGGGGATGGGCAGGGCAGTAATCACGTGCCATTACATGCAGGTGACCGAGACAATGACCGGGCCGCGGCCATGCGGGAAGCCGACGGCGCGTGACACGCGACCACAAAGGCGAAAACGATCCCCGGTACCTCACGTTTTGATAGATCAGTGATCCCGGATAATCCCACCCCCCTACCATAGATAGTATCGCTGTAATGTCCATACGCCCGCCACTACTAGATACGCTACGAATATCGCGGCCAATTCCCTTGCAAGGAAACAGCCCGCTTCCCCCATATACACAAGTCCCCTCCCCTCTCTACAAGTCCCCGCCCGGCAAGCCCCGAGCTAGGCCGAGCCCGCGTCTGTCTGCTCCCATCATCACGTGTGTCCCCCGCTGCCCCGACATCTCCTCGCGCCGCGCTCCCGCCGGCGCCTTCCCCTCTTGTGCCCGTGCTCGCTGTGCCCGACAGCGAGCTCGCTGTCCCTGCGCCCTGCCTCCCCCTCCCCTCCGTTTCCCTCCGTTCTTTTTGTAATCCGCTTTTATTCAAAATGCGCACCTAATGACACACAATACAATAGCTACACTTGCCTGGGTGTGCCTGCACTGAGCCCATATACCCCCCAAAATGCGTGCAGCATACAAGCGTTGAATTGGCTGGCCAAGCTCTGCATCAGATAGTTATAGATGAGGGCTGCTCTAGTATAAAACTGCAGGTGGATAGCTAGAGGGGTGCAGGTATGATGTCATATGTTATTTCAGAATGACATACTCCACAGTGATATTGAATATACATGTATCGTCTTATGTACACCCAGAATCGTACCTAGAGGTCACTCAGAGTGTATTGCAAGAAGAATAAAGTGAATAGACGATGTTGTGGTGAAGATATGACATATGCTCAGAAGGGGGAGTTGGCTTGAAAATGCGGCCTTCATATGTTTTTATGCAGACCTCTGATCACTTCGCATCTTGTTGCATTACGTTTGTATGTATATGTAGAGCTCAGATCGTCGTTTTTGTTCTTATCGGTGAAGGATTGAATACAGGCCATGGTATGTCATTATTCTATGACATAGAGTATAGCGATATGACATGTGCTCCGATTATTATTCTGAAAAGCGGAATAGAACGGGGTGTTCTTCTGCTAAACTATGCAGAAGAAACATTGAGAAACGATGAAGAACTGGTTGAGATATGCCAGATGGGCTTGAAGTGTGCAAAGCGACGTAGGTGGTTCAAGGGCGTCCTTTGCACAACCTGCCATTCTAGACCCAAATGATTGGTGGGCGTGGGTGCGCGCGTAGGCCGCGGCGAGTCGCGAACGATTCGGCCGGCGGAGGTGTTCGACCGGCGCAAGCGCCAGGTCGGCCCAGATGGCCCCAAAACGTAGCGTGTTGGGCCTTGGCGGCGCGCTGCCGCTTAGTTGAAGTGGTCTCCGTCGTCGTTTGTGCTTGAGCCCCCTCGCACCGTCGACAATCCATACCCTCGTACCTCCTTAGTCTCCCACAGTCCTCCCTCCACATGTCCGCCGCGCCGATCCACACGTCGACGCCCCACCAGCGAGGGTTCTTGGGGGACGACACGAGTGGTGTAGTGTCGTTGAGCGGGCTTCATTGGAAACCCTTCCAGATCGTGCCATCTTTGGGAAGGTAGCGACGGGGCGACCACCGGCCAGCGCACGGCACACGGAACCATCGCCATTACAGCATAGCCCGGCAACAAGGGAAGCGCGCGACACGTGCAGGCGGTCTGCCTTCCCCAAAGCCCCGCCTAACCCGACGCCGCTCGCTCCGTACGGTAGCGATCTGCGCGAAGCAGAGGCCAGGGCGGGGGCGCCAGTGGCCTCCTCCATAGGCGCGACGTGAGAAATGAGGTGAGGGCGGGGGGGCCGGTCGATGAGCGGAGTGTTGCTGCACGATGTGCCGATAGATACTTGATCCTTGACGGGGGAAGGGGGGAAGAGTGGTGGGTGGAATTATGAGGGGTTTTGTAGAGTAGAAGCCACAGGGTCGAGGGCGACGAGCCCCCAGACGGAGCGGACACAAGTCGCGGACGCCCTAAGCGCCCGCGAGGTGGTGGTGGTACGGAGTCAAGGAGGGATCCACCCCCCGCCGGTCGTGACTGTGCCTTCGGGAACACTCCCGAGGGTGCATATGCGAAGACGAACACCCCCAGTGCAATTCGACTCTATACCTACGACTACTTTGTATGTTACGCCTACCATAGGGCTCCGCCCTCAAGGGCGATAAACGAGGATCCAAAAGAAAAAAAGAAGAAAAAAGCTCGATAGGGTGCAGACTAAGATGCGTGCACTCAACATTGCAGTCAAGGCTTACACAGAGGAACCTCGGCGCAGCTGGTGGTTGGACCTGTTACGGTCGCAGAGCGCGGGAGCGCGGAGGTCGGGCGAGTCGGAGACGAGCAGGAAGACGGGTCGGATTAGAGGGACGCGCTTGACCTCGGGGAGGCTCGCGATAGCGGGGGAGACGGGTAGGAGAGGCGACGGGGAGGAGCCAGGAGGCAATCGCGTGGCGTGACAGTGAAGCGGGCGCGAGAATGTAAAGGTAAGGTGGCGGGCGATCGTATGCTAGGCGTCCGTTACAGGTGCGCGCAGAAGCTCGTAACCAGAAAGGCGGAGCAGGCCATAACAGGACCCGTGCTGGAGGCGGCAGAAAATGACGGCGAGAATGACGGCGAGACACATGCCCGCGGACCCTGGGAGGTGTTGCGCCACCAGCATGTAGCAACCTGCGTGCACTTCACGCACATTGTGGTCCACCTGGGCAGGTGCCTCGTCGCTGACGGCTATGCCGGGCTTCGCAAGGCTTCACTCGTCCTACATCCCGGCGGCCCGCGTTAACACATTGAACTTTGGAGGGAGCTGGAAGCCGTACACGGCGCCCACCCTTCTGAATTGATGCCTCCCCGTCCCAGCACACTTCCCTCGTTGCCGTTATCAAGTCCATCGTGGAGAACTGTCTCAAGGCAGGCAACGATGAGGCGTAAAGATGGCTCAAGGCCTGTTCCGAAAATCCGACCAAATCAGCCTCTGGACGGCCGAGGCCTGATCCCTGAGGACATTTTCGGCACCTTTTCGACAATTGGGATCAGGCATCTGAGGGAGATGTCGGGGGTCCTCGTGAACTGCAACGGGAGCAATAGTGGGGGTATACTCGCCTGGGATTCTAGTGGTGCTGGTGGTATTGGAGCCAGAGTCGTAGCCGGATGGGAGAGGGGTGGGGGGAGATGAGAACATGCGCGCCCGCGTGGGAGCGTCAAGGTGACACGGTGATGGGAAAAGTCACGCAGAGGAAAGACAGGTTGCAGGACTGCTTTGACTTAAGAGCGTGCTGCCCAAACTACTACATGACTGCCAGGATATATAGACGACGAGAAAGGTCCGTGCGCAACGCCACTACGGAGGAGGCTGGAATCATACGGACGGAAAGAGTACAGACAGTGTATGTGTGACACAAGGGAATGATCAGAGTAAGTGGCCGTGACGGGAGGAACGCAATCGGAAACGGAAAGTAGACAAACCCGACATTTCGGCGCTACAGCGATGTACCGCGCACGCCGCGCGCGGCGTGCGCGAGCCTTCGTCGCCTCGGTCGGGCGTATGTGGCGGGTTCACATGGCGCGGCGCCTCGCCCTTTGGTCTGCACTCGGTCCGGGCGCTCTGCTCGTCGACCGTAGCAGGCGCCCGCTTCAGTCTTAGGTCGTGGATGGAGAGGGGTCGCCGGATTGGGGCACCCTCAATATGGCGCCTTTGTTCAGAAACCCTCTGGGAGGCCTTTTCTGTCGGGGAAGTCGGAAAAATGAGAGGGCACCACCATCTCATGAGGAACATGGGCTGATACAGGAGACCTGCCTACAGGTAGCTCAAAACAGACGTTTTTTTTTGGGAACAGGACGTTGTGAGTCCTCCGAAGGTCCTACCTCTGGAGGTTCCTGCCCTTCTTCCATCCTCATGTGTGTTGGTTCAAGGAGCCTTCTCTTCCTCAGCCCCGAATGACAACTGGAGCAAGCTTGGATGGCCCTGCGAAGCGCCGATGCTGTGTCCCCACCCTCCATAGCAAGAAACCTGGCCACTTCTTCATCCAGAGATGGTGCTGAGTCCTCGAGACATGTTGTCACCCATGTTTTCCACTCCCAACGCATGTGGAGGGGAAACAGGCGGCGGCGTTCATGCTCTTGATGAAGTTTGGGGATGATGGTGTTCTTGAAAAGGTCGTACATGTGCAAGCGAATGTTGTGGGCGCATTCCATCAGCGGGGTCTTGAGGTTCCCAGAAGCATCGAGCTGCAGCCCTTCTCTAAAAAGAGACATGGCCACCTGAACCACCACAAGAGCGCAGTCGTAGCCGTTCTGAGGGGGAGCTACATGACGGATGGTGACCGTGTGTGGGTCGGGGGTTGGCCAGCCGTGGATGCGACAAACGTGCGCCATGATGATGTCTCCATGGCAGTCCAGCCATTCTTGACGGACCAAGGCTTTTTGGCACATGCTGCCTACCACATGCACCGTCTTGGCCTCAGTGTCTTGCACCACAACGACAAAGTGGCTGTTGTGGAGGATGACATACGCCACTGGTGTTATTGGGATTTTGCCCTCCGGTGGAAGGAGGAAGCGCCGGCGCAGAGGGGTTTGAACCTGGGCCTGAAGTTCTTCGTCTGTGAACGTGTCTTCCCGCTGGCTCACGGTAGAAGCATCTATGTACCTCACACCCCGGTTGTACCCGGGCCTGTACAGCTCTGTGTCAAACTTATGGGGCCCCTGCAGCAGTCACACTCACCTGTTGTACCAGACGTGGAGAAGGTATAGGTCCAACACATAAAAGCTGACCCAACGCCCAGGGCCGAGGGTGCCGATTTCCTCTAATGCGGGTGTCCAAACCGAGCCGAAGGAGTAATACGCAACTGTCATGGTGGGTGAGTGGGCGATTGAGCGATCGACGGGATAGTGATACGTGCGCCAGATATCTTGAGGGTTGTTGTTTGTCGGCACCTCCCTGGGGGTGTGGACCGTGCGGGCCACTGGCGCTTCGGGTGGGGGGTGATATGAATCTTCGGAGTCTGCCCCTGAAGAAGGCTCGGTGTCAAGCATGGATTGCGCCATTTCTGCAAACCTCTGCAGAACAAGGTCGGCCTGCTTGGAGGTCATCGCGCCTGGCATTGCTTCCATCCAATATTCAGGGGTACATTGGAGAGGCACCTTGAGGCGGGAGAGTTGACTGAGCAAAGTTGTGCTAGTGCCAGGCCTTAGCCCACTGATCCAAGCCGCTCACCTGTACACCATCAGGGTCGTCCGACAGGGTTGATTCAGGGTCCTCTGGACCGTCGTCTGATAGGTTCTCTGCCTCATGAAGTTCACGTAGCCATTGGAAACTTGTGGATGGTGGAGGAGAGCATGACGAAGGGGTCATGTTTGCCTCTGGGTGCTCAAGTCAGAGCTCAGTCCCAGCAGGAGCGACAAAAGGCGTCGGCACAGTACCTGTGGGGCTAGGTGTGGTTGAGTGGGTGGGGGAGCGAAGATGTCGCCACCTGTGGCAAATTGGGCAACTGCGGGCGGTAATCATACCACGTGGTTCCATCAGGCGCGTGCAGACCGATGCCGCGTACTTAAACCTATGAACGCCTTTCACGACAAGAAATGCCGGATACTGTACCATTTCGAATTATTCGAACGTCACGCGTCACATGCGCTCCAAAAGTTCGAAATATCGAGGGTCAGTCACCCATCACAAGGCCGTAGTTCGAAACCATTGGATGGGCGCTTATTGGCATGCAAGTTCGTGTCGCACGTCCACAGCAGTTTCGGCGTTTCGGATGTGTTCTGAACTAATTAATGGCAATGAAAGTGCCCGGTGTTTCAGGAAACGGTGTGCCCCGCTCATTCAAGTCCCTTCGGTTCGAATATTTCGCGGGGGTCACGCCAGACCGGCCCCCGGTTCGAATAATTCGAAATGGTACAGCACGCGTGAAGGAGAAGAGCCTAGTTTTTGGAGGAATCGTATGGATGGCTGATGTTGGAGTCACGGTACGGTGGGGCGCGGAGGTCGTGCGAGTCGGAGGCCAGCAGGAAAAGGCTGTCGGATTGACGGATGCACTTGACCTCATAAAGGTTCGCGGTTCCGGCATAGGCATAACGGCGCAGGAAATGCGCAGGATATTGTTGAATATTGCGTCAATCTCCCACAATTTCAGTTGGCGGGATATTCATGGGAAATGTATACTATCGCGGGTATGCCGCACACATTTTCTGTTGCACCTGCGGGGGACATGCCATGGAAATGTTTGCTTTCACAAGCATTTCAATGGCTCTTTTACTGAGGCGGCATTTCACCCCTTTGTTACCACATGAGTGCGCAGGCAACCCGCACGCCGAGTGTCGTTCGGACTGAGCGCTCGTGCCTCGCGCTCCGCCGAACTGGTACTTACTAAGCGTGGACGCTGGATGAGGAAAGCGCGCGTCATAAGCCTCTTTCCTTTCCCCCTCCGCGTACACGCGCACACAAAGCGCACCCACCCTCCTCTCCCAACGCTTTGGTTAGAGAGGGCAGCACTGCGGGCAGGTGCCCTATTTCCCACGGGGTGATAGCCATGTTGTAGCCATGTTATAGGTTTCCTTTGTCTTGAATGGACACATGACTGTCGCACGATGCGACAGCCTGCCTTGCACATCACTGCCCCACCGCCGGATAGTCTTCCTTGCACATGACTATACCCTGGCTATACCCTGACTGCCGCCCCACGTGACAGGTAAACTATTGCATGGCTGTCCCGTCACGCGCGGGGTAAACTGCTGCTTCACTATACCTAGACTACCTATTGCCCCACACACAATGTTGCCTGCCACATCGTTGGGAGGACTTGCCGAGGTCATGGTGTCAGGTGGTGGAGCTGTCGTCGTTCACGTGCTAGTGATTGAGCATGAAAAGACGGAGGCGTGCCACTTCACGAGGAAGAGAACGGATGCGAATCCGCCCCTCGATCTCGGGAAGACACCCTTCACCGGGGACTCACCTTTGCAACCGGTCGAAGTGCTGCGGCACCTGGGCTTCAACTATCTGGACCGGAAGCTAACCTTCCATTACCACGTGCGTGTGTATGCCACACCGGCGCGCGCGCTCGCGGGTATACCACCCGTGAGATTGCACATCGAGAAGCTGGTACGCAGAACGGGGCTCCGCGCGAGGACGCTGATGGCGTTGCACCCGATGCTTGCGGCGCTCGCGGAGCCCTGGGCGTGCAATCAGCTATCCCCGGAGTTAGCTTTCCCGATGGCCCGGGATGGTATCTACCGTGGCTAGCGGGAGCGAGCTGACCAGCAGTTTGTCTGGCTGGAGGAGCGCGCCAAGGACTGTGCGAGGGAGTTCCTCTGCGGGGTAGAAATACACGCCGCAAGTCCTCTGCCGCGACGTCCGTGGGAGGCCGATGGTGCGCGGCCGCCAGCTGGCGGTATGTATCCCAGAAACGACCATGGGGAGCTTCCGTTAAACGTTTTAGGAGGTCTCTTTTCACAGAGACGATCTCCGGAGACTGGTATGGAGGCGACTGTGAGCGTTCTGGCACGTCGTCCTCGCCCTCGTCGTCGGCTACGAAGCCGCCGTTGTGGAGGGTCCTCGTTCATCAGGCGAGGGTGGGGGCTACCGTCTGGTACTGGTCCTGTGGTGTTTATGTCGCCGTGTCCCTGCGTGCAAGATCTCCAATTGCTTTGCTCTCTGCGATTGAGCGCGCGCGCGCCTCTCGCGCACCCTCGCACACCCTCGCGCGATCAAGCGCTCGGCGCCACCGCGACCTTCGGCAAGGTCATTCCGTGCTGACTAAGCTTCCCACGGGCTTCGCTGGCGTTGCCGTCCCCAGACCCCAGACGAAACACTCCTAGCACATATCCTTCCTCCTCCACAAAACCCGTCGCCAGACTTCCACATGGAAAATTCACCTCGCGCGCGTTCCCAGTACGGATGGGTTGTATGCCCCCACAAATGCACAGGCCTGGTGTGCTGTGTCAAGAAGAAGGAGGGCAACCACATGAAGACTCACGCTGCATCTGGCAAAATTCACCAACATTGCAGCACCAAGTGTCCTGCATATGCCGTAGTGAGTCTGGAAGATGCAAGTGACTCGGAGCCTCCATTGACGCACAGGGTATCCCCAGCTCCGGGTTCGTATGATTCGATGAGGCTAGGCCGCCTTTATTTGACCATATGGGCTCTTTCAGACTGACAGAAAGGGCAAGCAGAAGGTCTTCGACAAGGAAGCCGTGAGTGGATCTGGAGTCATGTGCTCGACCCATGCTCACAAGGCCCAGAGGGTGGACATAGTCGATGCAACGGTGAAGGACCTAAGGCAATGTTTAACGGAGGAGAAAATGGAGGAATTTGTGGATTACACTTTGAAATATGCGGCCAACACTTCCCCCGGATACCTACAGGCAAAAAAATGCCAAATGTTTCTGGGTGATTTCAGCTATCCATCGGCATGTTTAGAGAGCTGACCCTTTTCCAGAACAAGTGAAGTCGGGGAAGGAAGAGTATCCACTACCAGCTGCAGACATCATTGGTGAGATCTTTGACTGTAGGGGTGCACATTTTTTCACCTTGTTTGGCAGACGGAGCTGGTGGGAGCGGCATCAATCAAGAGGAAGTCGAAGAAGGACTAGGTGACGCCCATTACACTCCACCTAGCCAGTACTATGTTCACTCAAGTGAGCTCGTGCAGCAGAGGTGCAGGATGACGGCTCTACCGCGATGAATGTGGATGACCCTGCCCCGGAGGCTCATCCCCAGCGTAGACTCAGGATCGTCTTCATCGAAGAACCTATGCTCCGTTTGGACCACAACAACGTCCCAGAGCAAAAATGGCCGTATGACGCAGAGCCTGGTGGGGTTGCCCACTGGATATCGTACGAGCTGCGCGAGGGGTTGTTTCGGGTGGCCAAGAGACACTTCCCGGGTCACATATTCCTGTCCACAGACCCAGAGGCACTCCAGGTGCGTCGCGATGCCGAAAAGGAGCTTGGCGCCATGATGTGGGACTGGGTGGGAGTGAATTATACATCACACACGGGGCCCCTTGCTAAAGTCTGCACAGATGCTCCTACCCCTCTACGTCATTCAGCACCAACACGACATGTTCTCAGTGCGATTTTTACGATACTCGGAGTTCATCGACGCCATTCTGCACCCCGAGGAGGACAAAAACGAACAGGTGTGGAGGATGCTTTGCACCTGCGATCTTGTCGTCGGTGGAGTGGACTTCACGGACAACTATGCGTAAGGTCGCTGACGACCTCCTCCGACCTAAACTCGCTGACTCTGCCCTGTGGTAGGCGTAAGGAGCTCCTCGATGCTGACAAAGGCAAGGTGGATCAGTACCGGGCTCGGATGGCCATCCTGCAGAGGTGCACGGTCGTGTGGCCCGACCCTGAAGAGACGTTCCTGTATGGTGCAAAGATCCCCCTCATCGAAAACCTCGACAAGGCGGCTGCAAATGTGACCAAAACCCCTCGGCCATGGACCTCCTGTGTGAGCGTCGGAGGGGCTGTAGGGCACAATGAGATCATCAAGCGTGGTCATAGCGGGTGGGGCAACCACGTTTCTCCCCCTTCTGCTGGGGACTCGAAGACTCGCTGGAACAGTTTGGTCCCCGACAAGGACAAGGCTGTGGAGGAGCAGTGGTTCGGCCGGTCATGGTTCCGCCAGCAGTTCATCCCCACTCTGGTGGAGTTAGGGGAGATGAGGTGCTTGTTCTTCGCTGGGAAGCTCACCCACATCACACACACTGTCAAGCAGAAGGACTCAGACCGGACTGACTCCGATCCTGTTACGACCACTGTGCCTTTGAAGCACATCCCGTAAGCTAGACTGCCTGAAATCATCTCAGCCGCTGACCTGTCACCATCACAGCACCATCTTAGCTGCCAAGAGGAAGGACGGCCACGCCTCTCTTGCGTACGCATGGGTCAACAGCGAAAGCCTTGCGGCTAACTTTCAGGATGAAGGCCGCAAGGAGCTGGAAACGTTCGCCAACACAACCTTCAACACGCTCGTTGATCTGGAGAAGAGTGCCTCACCTACCGGCTCCTCGGACCTCACCCTCTTTGCCCGGATGGATATCGGCCTCATTGACGACGGTGCAGGCGGGTTCCAGTACTTTGTGAATGAAGTAGAGCGCAGCTGGGGCACTACGTTGTTCGGCTTCAGGGACCCCCTCCCTCTTGTGCAGGCCATGCACGGCTTTGGGGAGGGGCTTGCCCGATGGACCAGAGAAAAACGCGCCAGAGTTCTCCAGACCATGGTGCCTCCCCCCTCTTGTGTCCAAGCGTAGATGAACGTTGTAGGCTTATGTCACACTGAGAAAATATGCACCACCACACTTGCATCCTGCATCACAGACCCCAAGCCATGTGTGACACAGATCCATGTGAACCAGGCATGTAACGGCAATTTGGAAACTTTTAGCAGTCTTGAACAAGATACCTATGTGTTGAGGGATAATTGACCAATAACCGATATCATAGAACTTTGTCCAGACCTTGGGAAACACAAGCCGACCGGTGGCCGACCGGTGCACACCAACCATTCCAGCCGCACGCCTGCCGCCGCCACCTATCCTTTGTGAGCGGCCTCCAACGATGTAATGACTTCCTGGAACACCCACCAAAGACGATGAAGCCCGAGCCCGGCCAACCCATGTGCCCAGACCTTGGGAAACGCAAGCCGACCGGTGGCCGACCGGTGCACACCAACCATTCCAGCCACATGCGTGATTTCCATCCACACATGCAACTCACACCCAGCAGGTTTCTCCACCCGTGTGATCATCGGCCGACTATATTACCCCACCATCGGCTGACCCTTCTGTCTGTTATGGCCTGCTCCGCCACCTGTCTGGTTACGAGCTTCGGCGCGCACCCGCTACGGACGCCCAGCATACGATCGCCCGCCACCCTACCTTTATATACCGTTCCCACACCTACCGTCTCGCCACGCGATTGCCTCCTGGCTCCTCCCCGTCGCCTCTCCTTCCCGTCTCCCCGCTACCGCGAGCCTCTCCGAGGTCAAGCGCGTCCTCTAATCCGATCCCGCCTTTCCGCTCGTCTCCGACTCGCCCGACCTCCGCGCTCCCGCGCTCCGCGACCGTAACAAGTACTGTCACGAGTAGACGTGGTACGAGCCTCATCTCCGTCCTTACGGCGTGAGACTCATCACGTGACAAGTCGCGCGGCGCATGAGCTGGCGCGCACTGTGCGCCCCACCGCTGGTGAAAGTCACCCGTCACGTCACCCAGCCGTTCTGGGTGGTATTCACCTCGTGCCATGGTAGGAACCCCGAGGTTCGCATCTTTGGCGCTGGTTGGAAGGCGCCAGGTTCCCGGGTGAACGGAGTTGGTGATTGTGAGCTAGATGCTGCTCTGAATCACCATGGTATCATTTTCTGAGACATGGTGAATCCACCCATATGTGGTGTAGATAATGACAACGCATTTTTAACTCGTGAAGAGGGTGAAAATCCCGTCAGGGAAATGTCACTAGGATGCTTCACCATTGTGCTTACTACCACAATTCATAGTGCCTTCACATATATCACACAAGGGCTCATAGTCACTAACAAAACTGTTCAGATTCGCTGCGATAGAAGGATGCGGGCTTTACACAGAAACTCGGCCTAGTCAACAGGTGACTGGATTACATAATCGCACGTGCACTTTCAAGCGGCAGCGGCAGACGTTGACGCAGCCCCGCCCGCACCACCATGGCCGCCTTCACCGTCCCGACCTCCAGCACCGCTGCCACTGCAACCCTGATCCACAGGGTCCTCGTCAATGTCCTCGACTTCGTCACCATCTGTGGAGGTGCGGCGGCGCTTCTTGCTGATATAGCCCTTGCGGTACGCGTGCTTCCGCTTATTCTGCATGTATTGACGGGCGATAGCCGCTGTAGCCCAGTTGTTCTCGTACCGACGAAGAACAGGGTGCGCAGTGCGGGCCTGCGCAAGCCGTGGTGAGTACTTTGCTCATTTGGACATGGCTGTTACTGATGAACTCACAGCACGGAAGAGCATCCCCATGCGCTCTGGGTCTTGGCGACGGAAATCCTGGGTCCAGTCAAGCTGAGAGCGGGTGACGAGGGTGCGGACGTCCCTCTTTTAGGGCGCCAGTGAGTCTCTTTCGCATTTTCAATGACGATGAGGTGACATACCTGTATTGCCTGGTACTCCATATCGCCTAGCTGCATACCCGCCTGAATGCCGACACCCGGTGGTGGTGGAGATATCATAGGACCGGCCCCGGGTTGTCCTCCAGCAGCACCTTGCGCGGCCTGAGCGGCTGTGTTTGCTTGTGCGGCCGTGTTTGCTTGTGCGGCCGCAGCTGTGGCTGCAGCGAGCTGTTGCTGAAGCGTGACAACCGCTGCCTCAGCGGTAGCGCGTGCCTGCTGAGCGGCCTCGGCTTCGAGGCGAGCAGCCTCAGCTTCTTCAGTGGCAGTGACGACTTGCTGGCGCGCGGCCGCGAGCTCGTTCTGAACGGCTTGAAGAGCCTCGCGCATAGCAGCCAGCTCGGTGCTGTGTGCTACCAGGGTGGTGAGTAACAGATCTTTGATGCGCGGAGCCGTGACTGACCTTCGTTGGTGTCGCGCATCTGCTGCTGAAGCTCGGTCACGCGCTCTTGCAGATCCTTCTTCGTTGGAGCCTGGGTTATGGTGTTTTCAGCAAGCCTCAGTGGCGATACAGATGGTACGTACAGGCATGTTTCTCGTTGATGAATTGGTGGCTGATTGAAGAGGGTTGAATGTCGACAGGGACACGAGGTTTGGATGGATGTACGGAAGATGAGTGGCGAGGGGCAGGAGGAGGGGATGCGGAGAGTGCTGAGTTGCCTCGACTCAGCCGCCGCACGGTATATATAAGGTGTGCGTATTTCAACTTGTTTGTCGGGCATTAGCACCTCAGCCGCTTCGGCCACTCACTCTGTTTTGTTACAGGCCACATGCTTACATCGTACATGGCCACTGCGCGTCCGCATTGTTCGAACTACAATAGTTCTGTGCTGTGTACGCCATTGCCTAGTTACATACATGATCAATTCTGGTTGCCGAGTGGCAAAGTTGAGCCCGCTCGCGTCGCCTCGACGCCGGTGCTGCCACCCTTACTTTTGATCTTCTCGTCTGTCGTGTGCCACTCTCCTGCATATCTGGATCACTATGCCTCCTCCTACGCAACCTCAAACCAGCGGTGAACGCCGGTTATGCCCGCACTGTAATGAGTGGTGGCATCCGACCACAGTTAATCGTCATCTGGCAGGAAAAGTACCAGTGCTCTTTGAGGCATCCAGACTTGCTGAGAGCAATCTCGACACGCTTCCCAAGCGCACACAAACCTCTCTCGAAGATGAGGACTGGTCCCTATTAGCCGACATGCACCCATGGAAGCGAGCTCGCACGACAGCCTCGGTGACCACGACTCTCCCCATCCCGCCAGCTCTCCACTCAGAACCCGATGGAGACATATTACACGAAGAACCGCTGGCAGAAGATGGTTCTCGCGAAGAACCACTGGCAGACGACGGCTCTCGCGAAGATTCCGATATGGCAGATCTCACGGAAAAGACTATCCAACACATTGCGGAGAACGTATGGGCAGGTCGAACCCGGTACCGGCCTCCTACTGTTGAGGACGTGCCCGATGAAGATGAGATTCCCGACACCAGTACTGCGCCACCCCCCAACCTAGAGAACACACTTGAAGACCTTATGGACGACACAATCTGGCAGCAGCTCTTTGAGGAGGAGGACGAGGCGAGCCGGTACGAGGCTATATCCATCTGGGATGAGCTTCTGCAATCGTTCCTGCGCGAAGGAGCAATCAACGGTGAGTATATTGTGTGTTCAATACTTTGCGCAATACATATACTAAACTAAAATGTCACATGGAAATGCAGATGAAGACGAGCTCACCGGAGAAGAGCTCGAGATCCTCCTGCCCTTCACTCTCAAGGTCCAGCAACACATGTCACTCGAGACGTTCAGCTGCCTTCCATTCACATTTAAGAAGAGCAACGTCCGCACCTGGAAAGAAACGCAGCAGTACGTTGCCCGCCTGTCCGGTTTCAATCCGGAGATCTACCACTGCTGCATTGATTCCTGCTGCGCGTTCACCGGCCCTCACACCAACAAGACTTCATGCCCGTACTGCGGTGCGGCTCGATATTACCCAAACACCACAAAGCCCCGCAAGGTCTTCGTCTACCTTCCGGCCACCCCGCGTTTGAAGGCGTACCACGCAAACCAGAAGATGGCAAGGGACATGCGCCATCGCGCAGAAGTTCACGTGCATGACCCGACGAAGATCAAAGACGTTATGGATTCCGCAGCTTATCGCGCGCTCCTTGGCAAGAATGTCACCGTAGACAACAAGACTCTCTCACACAAGTTCTTCGAGGATCCTCGTGACATCGCGCTCGGCCTTTCGACCGACGGATTTGCACCATTCAAGCGCCGTTCGAAGACAGCTTGGCCTCTCATCGCATTCAACTACAACCTCCCCCCTGAAGTCCGGTTCCTCCTCCGCACGTTCTCCCCGTCCACACAGTTGTCTTCTCTGTGAAACGACCGAGGGTGCGTGTCCAGTATCGTCATTGCATCTACCGTTACTTATGGTACCCTCAGCTTACGCGCTACTGCGCTGCTCAGATCGCGACACCTTCACCACGCGAAGCTTCCACTTGACCACCTACCCTGACCGATGAGACTCACGGAGGCGACTCATGTTCAGCACGCCCCGGCCACGTGGGTGGGCTCAGGCGAAGCCGAATCGTCGGTTCCAAGGGCTGAGAGCCCATAGTCTACGGCGTCCAGCTCTGGACGCAGTCTGGCAGATAGACCGTCGGAGTGATAACGTAGATATTTCGTACTAGAAATACAGGGATGGCTGACAGACGGGACAAGAGCGGTCGCGTGCGGCGCCGCGCGCATGAAGCGTATCACGGTGCGTGGCCAGGGTCCGCGCGAGAAGCGTGCGCGGGTCGCGCTGAGCTCGCGGCTCTCTGAGGCACCACCTGTGTCATGCTCTGTGAGAGAGGAAAGGTGAGCGACGAGTCCCTCACAGAGCGAAAACAAAGGTGTGCTGACAAGACAACCCAAATCAAGGGAGCAGGAGGGTGGGTCGAAATCTTGCAGCGGAGGCGACGGATGGAGGCTCGAGGCTGCGAGGGAAAGGCGGGAGGGGGACGGTGCGACGGGAGGAGCGTCTTGGCGGGAGACAAGCCGTGGGCGTCTGCTCTCCGCCGCTCCTCCCGCCGTAGACCAGCACCTGTCGTGGCCACTCGTTCCTCGCTTCCGTGACAGGGCGAGCAATAATGAAGCGATGCTATGCCTTGCACTCTGTCTCCCCCACCACCATTGCCCTTCTGCCACCTGTCTCTCTGGCCCCACTCTCCCTCTGCACCCTGCCATTCCCTCCCTACTGGCCTTTCCATGCTGAGGCAATGTCATCCAACGCATCTTCCTGCTCTGGCGCCCCGAGGTGGGCCACCTCTCTGTGGTTCCTACTCCCCTGCCTGAACTACACTTTGAGCTTTTTATGGCGACATCGTAAAATGCAAGAAACTGAGTGGCGTGCCGTGGACGGTGAAGATCGATTGCGTGCGTTGAAGACCAAGAGCGGGCGTGGACAGGGGGTGCACGCGTCGTGTCTTGACAGGGGTGCTACCCCTGATCCATCCTCCGTCGTGCTCAAGTGCTCACCTTTCCCATGCTGCATCACATCTGTCACACTCCTACTCTATCCGACTTCCTGAGTCTCATGCTCAAGTCTCATGCCCATGTGAGCTCACTCTTTCTTGTTTACTGTTGCCGAAGAGGAACAATGAGGCTATGGAAATCAAGCCAGGCACTCCAATTCCACCGGTCTGGCTTGTGTTGAGGCGAGATCTGGCTCCCACTTGGGATGGCAGATCGCAATTTGGCGGGCGATCGCCTATTCAAACTATGCAGCTAGGTTCTTAGATCCGAGGGTGTGCAGTTAGACGTCCTCAGCGCAGCAAGCAGGGTTGAAGCACACATCACAGGTGGGGGAAGCAAGTCGGTGGCGGACAGCGGAAACAAGACGGGGCGGCGGGGGCGGCGAGTATACAGCGCCGGCCGCATGCAGCCCCGTGTGCAGAGGGGACGCGCGTGAGAGCGCCAAAGGTTCAAGTGGAGGAGGAGGAGGGAGTGCGTGGATATCCTCGACGCGTCGTAGGCGTCGACAAGACAGCAAGGCGTGGTAGAGGGCGGCGGCGGGCGCCCGTGGTCCATTAGGGCGTTCTCCTTACCGCATCACAACATGATGGCAGGCGGAGCGGGGGATTCACACAGACAGCTCGAGGTACACAGTTGAAAACTCTGGCCACATAGACGCACTTACCTATCGTGGGTGTGATGGGCGCTGCCTGCCTGGCGGGCAACAGAGACAGGCCAAGGACAGAACGGGGGGTCGGACACATCAACTCACCGGCGTAATGGCACGGGACTCCGAATACACACGGCAAAAAGACGTACTCACCTGCAAAGAGGTGCTGAAGAGCTCACCTTTATGCGGCCCCGACAGAAGACGACCTTTATGACGGATGGAAGAGAGACGAGCACGGAGGACGCGCGCAGTGCCGAGGTCGACTCATAATACGCGTTGTGCAGGAGGCAGGTGGAACGGGACCAAGGGACCATACGCGCAGCCACGTCTGCGTGCCGCTCGTGATCTAGCTGCGTCGCGTAACCAGTGACACTGACCAGCGAGCGCCCGTCCCCCGGCCCAGGCTGTTCCTCGCGTCGTCTCTCTTCCCTCTCTCAAAGGCCCCGTTCGCATGGAAGTTCCATGCAGATCAGAGGGTTTCGTATCGCACCATCTGTTAGAAGTCGGCGGCTCGGACGAGGTCGGACGAGGGGGTAAAGGCAATCGATACGATGCGGTTGGTCCCTATGGGCACCGGGAGGCGAGTACAGACGGACGCGGGGGAGAACGAGGTGGTGGTGAAGGGCAAACGCGTGAGGCGAGTGCGGGACGAGGGACGATGGCTATCTACACGATGACTAAGCACAAGTAAGGTACGACCGAGCTTGCCATACACGTGAGCAGATTCCAACACCATCAGCTTCCTCGCCTCGATCGCCCCGTCTCCCCACATGTGCACCCCTTTTGGGTCAATTTCTCATGTAGCAGCTTCCGTGGGTGCTGCCCGCGGCTGCGCCCCCGTCGTGAATTCCGTTGCACAGCCCCGCTAGCACTTGCAAGCTTCCGCCAGTCGCCCGCGCGAGCTCCGCGCCATCGCTCTCTCCGCGCCCCCTCTCCGCAGACCTGGTTCCCAGATTGCGCCACACCGACTCTCGCCCAGCATGAGGGGGCGACACGATGCGCTCTGCTGACGAGGTCCCCCACCAAGACGCAATGCGACGTCTCCCTCCGACGAGTCTCACACTCCGACCTACACTTGCACCTCTGTCCCGACACATAGCGCAGTCGCTGCGCAACATCGCACCGATCTTCACGACGCCCGTCCCTTCGTAGCCACGTTTCGGGCGTCGGTTTCGTTCGTAGTTTACGCCCGCGCGCCGGCCGCAATGTGTGTTTTTAGGTCAGACTCGCACTTGGTTCTATGCTGTTCATTTCTCTCGCATATCTGTGAGCACTCTGTGAGCGTGTTATGTGCTCACTCCCCGGCTTCACCTCTATTCAACTTCGTAGTCTCCTATCGTCTTCGTTACTCATCGCCCTCACTCCCTCCGCCTATCGACTTTGCCACTGCCTGTCACCCATCACCTGTCATCCATTGCTCTTGTAGTGCTCTGTGCTCCGCTTCTTACTCTGCATGTTCCTCCCCTTGCACGAGCAGTGCACCCCTACCTTGCCTACTGCCCGACAGCCTTGCAGAGTGTGCAAATACAGGCACAGAAATCGACACCCGGACGGGGCCGTTCAGCGAGCGATCCTTGACGGACCCATCCTCAGAGAATGTAGAGGGTGTCAACCTGCCAGATCTCGCTCACCTGTACATCAGCCACACCCAACCAACTGGGGTTTCGGACACGCTGAGCAGCATCACCATACCAAGCACACCCTTGTGAAAGTAGAGCGCCTCGTACTTCGGGCTTCTCCGGTCGAACTCTCCACCGACTCGTTCCTGTAGCTGTGTTACGGTCGTGGAGCACGGGAGCGCGGAGGTCGGGCGAGTTGAAGACGAGCGGGGGAAGGGGTCGGATTGGAGTACGCACTTGACCTCGGGGAGGCTGGCGATAGCGGGGGATGCGGGTAGGAGGGCGACTGGGAGGAGCCAGGATGCAATCGCGTAGTGAGACAGTGGGTGCGGAAACAGAATATAAAGGTAATGGTGGCGGGTGGCTGAGACGATGACGAGCTCGTAACATGGTCGGTCCGGCCAAATAACAACAAGCTGTAGACTCTTCTACGTCCACCATGTATTCTACCCCGTCCTTTCATTGATTCTTTCTCTCGACCCGTGACGCTTGCGTTTCAACAAACCTGGGCCTCTACACCTCAGAGTTCTTATTCCTCCTTCCCCAGTCCATCAGTACTCTCCAAGCTTTTGCGACATACGACACCGTGGCGTTCTGTCGGGGCGTGTCGGCGGTGCGCGGTGCCTCCAGTGGGCAACTTCTCCTCACGGTGACTATCACCCACCAGGAGGGCATGTACTTTGAGGAGATTGTGGAGGGCTCCTTCGTCACTATGGCAAATCCCACCACCCCCAACGTCAACGTCTACTTCTCCGACGACACGTTTGAGAAGTGCACCTGGCGAGTGTTTGGAGAAATGAGGGAATGACGTACCTTCCTCACAAGCTTCCTCGGAGTCTCTTCGCTGTCGGTGGGATGGGGAGGAGTGCAATCCCTGATGGTGATGCTCGGCGCCGACGGCGATGCGATGGGGGCCCGTTCCTGGTTCCAGGTGTGCAACACAAGTGCAACAACTGTTCCTTCAACTCAGATATTCTGGGAATGGGTCTTCAGGACGAAGTACACGGTAGAAAGGCGTATGGAAGGGAATGTTCCTTTGCAATCCCTCACTGTGAGGATCTATGAGGAAAATGAAGATGACGCCGATGAACTGGAAAGATGGCAGCAAATAGCCCAGTGTATTTTGGTGTTTGTGCCTGGGTGCGAAATAGATGCAGGGGTGAAACATAGGGCATGGCGGATGTAGGGGGTGGCAACGGTAAGCACTTCTTTCCAGTCTAACCAGGCAAGTGGCACCAACCATGACACGGCAGAAAACCGTATCTTGTGGTCTACCTTGGCAATTTGGGAACTGCGTGAATAAGATAGTTGTGTGTTGAGGGAGAATTGACACATGGGGAAATGACCGCTATGTTTGGAGTCTCAATAATCGATATTATAGAACTTTGTCCAGGCCTTGGGAAACGCAAGCCGACGGGTGGCCGACCGGTGCACACCAATTATTCCAGCGGCACGCCCACCGCCGCCGCCTACAATTCTTGGGTGGCCGCTGACCATTGCATGACATGTACATCCTGGCACACACACCAAAGACAATGAACCCCGAGCCCTGCCAACCCAAGTCCCCAGGTCTTGGGAAACAGTGGCCGATCGGTGCACGCCAACCATTCCAACCACACGCGCAATTTCCATTCGCACGCGCAACGCACAGCCAGCAGGCTTCTCCACCCGTGCGAGCATCGGCCTACTATATTGTCCCACCATCGGTTGACCCTTCACCACTCCAAGCTTCCACTTGACCACCTACCCTGACCAATGAGAATCACAACGGGGCCTGCAGGCGACTCATATTCAGCGCGGCCGGGACACGCGGCCGGGCCTAGGCGAAGCCGGATCGTCGGCTCCAAGGGTTGAGAGCCCATAGCTTTAATAGCGACATCATCCTCGACCCTCTACCACCACCATCACTCGCATAGACGCCTGCCACCCAGCCTTCGAATTCGCGAGGCCCCCCACTTCCCTCCCCATTCCGTCCCCTTCAAGGGTCAAATGCCACCGGATCCAAGCTCTCAGGCTCTCCGGGGCAGCAGGCCGAGCCCGATAGACCGTCCAACACCTCGGTCGCGGTCTGTCACCCCCATGAACGATCTCTCCCCCGCGAATTTCTTGTACATGAGCCAGTTCAATCCGTCCGAAGCAAGACGCGGGACTCCGAAGGACGCCCATCCACTTGAGAAAGCAGTTTCGGGATACGAGGAAGTCATGGTCGAGGCAGGGCTCATAACCTGTCAACGGGTACGAGTGCTGGCGAGCTAGCGAGAGAGCGGGGCTCACCTCAGTCTCGGGAGACGGGGGTGCATTGAACACTTTCGGACGGCGCTTAGCTGGTCGAAGACCCTGGGAGTGATAGTACCCTCGTCCGTGCCCGCTCGACCGCTGATGGACCTTTGGCTACTTTCCACACCTGCATAGCTGCTGGCAGCTCTAAATAACACAAGTTGAATACACATGCATCTACGTGAGTTGAAAGGTAAGACCACCCTTCACTTCCATATTTAGGTTGCCATCTATACATTGTGTCCACTTGTCCTCACGCCTTGCATATCACTCTTTCTTTGAGGTCTTCGGGCATTTCTGGCTTGAGTCAGTGATTTCCTATCATGTATGTATCATTTATTGACATTCACATCCATTGAAGTGTCTCTCGTTATCTTATCATGACTGATTGCTTTCCAAATGGTTTTCTCTCATGGCTTTATTTCGAAAGCCAAGTTAAGGTCGTCCTTTATCATGACTGACCCCCGAAATGGTCGGTGGCGTCGACGTACGCGAAGAGGTGGGGAAGCGCATCTGGGTGGGAGAGGAGGTAGCTCAGCTTGCCACCGCCCTTGCCGCCAAGCTTTAGGTGGATATGTTGCACACGCTCCCGAGAGTACGCCGTGCAGTGCAGGAGGAAGTGGATGACTGTCTCCACACCGGCACCGCAGGCTGGACAGATGTCGGTCTCAGCGCGATAGATGCGGTGGAGATGCGCAAATAGTGGGGCGTGGCCGGTGCGGAGTTGAATGAGGAGGCGGGAATGCTTGCGCGTGAGCGGGGCGATGAGTGCTTCGAGGGAAGGGTGGAGTCAATGGGTTTGAGTCGAGCGCTGCGGGGTGATGCGCCCCAGTGCTCCGAGACCCTCGTTTGTAGTGTGGCCACGTGGGCGGTGCGGAGGGCGGATGCGCAAGCGGGGAGACACTTCCGGAGACAGAGAGGGAGGGCTGCGACGCGGCTGGAGTCGCCTCTCACAGTGAGTTTTGGGTGCTCGTTGGCGAACTCGTTGCCGTCGATGCCCAGTGTTATTGTGTCGCACCTAGGGAACCCATTGAAGCCAGCACATTCCACATACAAGGCCCAGGGCCTCGGGAAACCTAGGCCGACAGGTGGCCGACCGGTGCATCCCCGCCCGCCCACCGCCTGCCCACCGCTTCGCCCGTTCTTCCACAAACCATTGGTGACGACGGCCTCGCATTCTATCACACTGAGGAAACCTATTGAAGCCCGCACGGCGCCCATATTGGGCCCAGGGCCTCGGGAAACCTAGGCCGACAGGTGGCCGACCGGTGCATCCCCGCCCGCCCACCGCCTGCCCACCGCTTCGCCCGCACGGCGCCCATATCGGGCCCAGGACCTTTCAGGGGTTCTTTGAAGCTGTCTAGGCACTGTTCGGGGTTTTTTGCGACCATATAAGAGTCGCGGAAAATGCGCCCAAACCAAGGCGGCAACCAGCAGCAGGCGAAGAAGAACAAGAAGCGAGGCAATCGCTGTTACGCTCGCTGAGCGCGGGAGCGCGGAGGTCGGGCGAGTCGGAGACGAGCAGGAAGACGGGTCAGATTCGAGGGACGCGCTTGACCTCGGGGAGGCTCGCGGTAGCGGGGGAGACGGGTAGGAGAGGCGACGGGGAGGAGCCAGGAGGTAATCGCGTGGCGAGACAGTGAAGCGGGCGCGAGAATATAAAGGTGAGGTGGCGCGCGATCGTATGCTGGGCGTCCGTTACAGGTGCGCGCCGAAGCTCGTTACCAGACAGGCGGAGCAGGCCATAACAATCGCGCCGGCAAGAGCGTACAGGAGAAGTACAACAAACAAGCACGACGGGCAGCCCAGGGGCGTGTGAGAGCGGGAAATCTTTCCAAGCATGTTATTGTATCGACGCCTGTGCGAGACTCCGCCAGTGACTCGGAAATGATGAAGGGTACTCAAACCGTTTGTCAACATGCGCCCAACATTTCCGGGTCTTTGTCAGGTAACCCGGCTGACAACATTTGCAAGTCTCGGAAATGTTGAAGTTCAGATCACGTGCACGCCGCCGATGTCCAGGCTCCCGCACTCGCGAGCACTGGGATTTATGTTTCAGACAACTCAGGGGATGCTAGGATCGATTTCGTGTACCACGGCGGACACCAGGCCGCGATATGACGGTAGCCATGTGATCTGAACATCAACATTTCCGAGACTCGCAAATGTTGTCAGCCGGATTATCTGACAAAGACCCGGAAATGTTAGGCGCATGTTGACAAACGGTTTGAGTACCCTTCATCGTTTCCGAGTCACTGGCGGAGTCTCGCACAGGCGTCCATATAATAACATGGTAATGAACATTTCCCGATATCCGGCGCCCGCCGTGAAGATCACAGCGCGCACATCGCGTCGCCCGCGATCACCGAGCTAAGCGCTCCACTCCGCGCTCCTCTCCCTGGTCCTGTCACCAACCTCCCTATCTCCATCCCTCCTCCCGACTACTCGCGCGTCATGGATATCCATCCTCATGGCATCACCATCAGCACCAACGCCATGCACACTCCTAACACAATGGACGGCCGCAATGTCTATCCCGACATCGTCCAAGCGTTCAACACCGCCGCCAAGCAGAACGTCTCCGCGTCCATCCAGTCGATCAAGAACTTTGTTTCTTCATCTTCCGGACGCAAGGACATCCCGCTCAGCGCGCGTATCACCGAGCCCGACAACGCGGCAGCATCTTCTTCTAAGAAGCAGCACCTATCCCTCCAGGAGCGCCTCGGGCCTATCACATGGGCTTCCAATCATGGCAGCAACAGTGGCGCAGAGACCGACAGCGACAAGAGCGCTACAGAGGACGACGACGACGACAACGGCGGAGTCTCTCTTGGGTCTGCCCCCGACCGCGACGAGTATACGAGGCAGGCCCAAGCCTCGCGCAGTAGGCCCTGCCTCGCGCGCGCGCGCGCTGCCTCGCATCAGACCCGCAGAGCACGCGGGCGCTCTTGTCCCGTTTTACTAGGGATGCGTGGACAGTTTATCTTTTGACCAGGACGAAATGTAGCTGAAAGTTAAATAGTCGCCCTTTCGGAAATACAGGCGCCCAGCTAGACGAAAGGCATGCTTTCCACTACTTTTCATCCTTATTTCTTCCAGGCAGGCATCCTGCATTGCCCGTCGTGAGAATTCCTGTTAAGAAACTTCCGATAAGTATGAGTGCATGTTCCATTTGTTGCAAACAAGCACATATGACAGCCCATTGCCGACTCACTGCATATTCTCTCTAAAGCAGACTGCCTTGACGATTGAGTCCGACCTGGTGAGCTTCAACAGCTCCGATATGCTTCTCTTTAACCCAAGCGGCAAGTGACTGCCCAAATTGGTGCACAGCCGAGACAACAACATGGCTTTCCAGTGAGCCGAATAACGTGGTGCCCCAGCTGCGCTCAACCTCGTTGACAAAGTACTGGAAGCCGCCTTGGTTATCTGGGATGAGCCCGATGTCTATCCGTGCGAAGAGTGTGAGGTCCGAAGAGCCTGTAGGTGAGCAACCCTGTTCTAGCTGGCACAACCCTTTGAAGGTTACTTCAGCAAATGTTTGCAGCTCATTGAGGCCCGTGCCGACGTGACTCTCTTCGTGATCTTCGGGATCTATCCAGGCATATGCAAGAGAGAGTGCTTTAGGGCTCTTCATCAGCTCTCTTTTCCGGAGCTCCAACTTGGCTCTAAGACAAAGACGTCAGTGATAGCGGCCATGCATTGCACCTCGATGTGGCTTACGGAATGTCCTTGAGGGGTATGGTGCTCCGCACCTTGTCGTAGTCAAATCTTCCGATTTCCTCCCTCGTCAGGGTATGCACGATGTGGGTGAGCTTCTTGCCGAAAAAGAAGCACCGCATCTCTCCAATCTCTCGCAGAGATTGCAGAAACGGCTGAGAGAACCACACACTCGGGAACCACTGCTTTTCCAGGGCCTTATTGGGCACCATTTTCTTCCAGCGAGTGAGGGAATCTTCCTGGGAAGGCAAAGACACATGGTTGCCCCAGGCACTGTGTCCACGCTTGAGCACTTCTTCAGTCTGCACAGGCTCCAATATGTTGACCGGTTTTGTGACTGGTCTCAAAGTGTGGGTCACCTTTGCTGCAAGAATATCGAGGTGGTTTATGAGGGCTAGTTTGGAGCCGTAGAGGTGTGTCTCCCAGGGGTCAGGCCAAACGACCGTCCTCTTCGTTAGGAGTGCCATCTGGTTCCTATACTTTTTGATCTTGGATAGGTTGCCTTTGAGGACGGATAATTGTCTGTCGAGTTCAGAGCCAGTCTGTTGAGGATTGCAAGAGGATTGAGGCTCATGAAAACACTTACTGATAGTCATCTGTGAAGTCAATTCCACCAATTACAAGGTCGGAAGTGCACAAACACCTCCAGACTTCAGAGTTGTCGCCCCCCAGGACAGCACGAACAAACTCCCCGTAGCGAAAAAACACGAGTGAGAACTCGGTGTCCTGATGGAGAAGCTGGAGAGGCAGCATCATCTGTGGTATTTCAGTGTCACAGGGCCATTTACAAAACAGCAGCGCTCACCCACTCCCACATAATGACTGAAACTTCGCCCTCATCGTCAGCATTGACATCGCTTTCTACTGGATGGTGGTGGGGTAGGAATATGTGCTGGGGGAAGTGTTTTTTGATCGCCTTGAAATCCACTTTTCTGATGTTGTACTCCATATAATGGGCCATTTTACTGAGTGGATACTCAACAGGCCATCTCTGGTTCGGAGGGCCGTGGGGCGGCAATCCCAATGAGGGCTCCTCAATGATGACGACTGTGAGCTTGTGGTTCAGAGGGGGTTTGGTGGCAGAAGGGTCAACATCGAAGCAGTGACCACCATTGTCTTGCGGGGGGGAAGGGGTGGCCAGGGTGACAGTGGCTGCTAAACATCTTGTAGATATACCATTCAGAATACATGACAGAGCACACACCTTGAGTGCCAAAACCTTCACCAGCAGCCACACCTTCATCTGATGAATCTACCAACCACAATTAGTGAACATCGATGTGCACCAAGACCAGCCATAAATTCACCTTTGACGGTAGTGCCTTGCACAAGTGCAATGCCACCCGTTCCACCTCGGCCGCTTCTATCATCTCCGTAGCTTCTTTCTCCTTGGACGCGCATCTCACCTGGAAGATCCTGAGTTCCCGCGCAGCATTTAAAAAGAAGCTCTCACCTCGAGGTGGTGGGCCTAGAGGGGGGTGTTCAATCTTCTTGAGTGTGGTTGTGCCTGTCATGCCATTCATAGTAAGCTCTATGGGCTCCTTGATATCTGGGAGAGGGAGGCAATGTTGTACAGGTGTGTCTTAGAGTGAGGCAAAACGGCCATGCCCAGGGACTTACATCAGCAAACTGATGGAGGGACATGTGGCGTGCATCGCAGCTGCCACGCGTTGATGCGCGCCACGCGTCTTGGGAAAATGGTTGTTCCCAGGGAATTCCCCTGGAATGGCAGGACTCCCGCTTCGAGCGGCACGCAGACGCGGCTGCGCGTATGGCCCCCTGGTCCCGTTCCACCTGCCTCCTGCGCAACGCGTATTATGAGTCGACCTCGGCACTGCGCGCGTCCTCCGTGCTCGTCTCTCTTCCATCCGTCATAAAGGTCGTCTTCTGTCGGGGCCGCATAAAGGTGAGCTCTTCAGCACCTCTTTGCAGGTGAGTACGTCTTTTTGCCGTGTGTATTCGGAGTCCCGTGCCATTACGCCGGTGAGTTGATGTGTCCGACCCCCCGTTCTGTCCTTGGCCTGTCTCTGTTGCCCGCCAGGCAGGCAGCGCCCATCACACCCACGATAGGTAAGTGCGTCTATGTGGCCAGAGTTTTCAACTGTGTACCTCGAGCTGTCTGTGTGAATCCCCTGCTCCGCCTGCCATCATGTTGTGATGCGGTAAGGAGAACGCCCTAATGGACCACGGGCGCCCGCCGCCGCCCTCTACCACGCCTTGCTGTCTTGTCGACGCCTACGACGCGTCGAGGATATCCACGCACTCTCTCCTCCTCCTTCCACTTGAACCTTTGGCGCTCTCACGCGCGTCCCCTCTGCACACGGGGCTGCATGCGGCCGGCGCTGTATACTCGCCGCCCCGCCGCCCCGTCTTGTTTCCGCCGTCTGCCACCGACTTGCTTCCCCCACCTGTGAGGTGTGCTTCAACCCTGCTTGCTGCGCTGAGGACGTCTAACTGCACACCCTCGGATCTAAGAACCTAGCTGCATAGTTTGAATAGGCGATCGCCCGCCAAATTGCGATCTGCCATCCCAAGTGGGAGCCAGATCTCGCCTCAACACAAGCCAGACCGGTGGAATTGGAGTGCCTGGCTTGATTGCCATAGCCTCATTGTTCCTCTTCGGCAACAGTAAACAAGAAAGAGTGAGCTCACATGGGCATGAGACTTGAGCATGAGACTCAGGAAGTCGGATAGAGTAGGAGTGTGACAGATGTGATGCAGCATGGGAAAGGTGAGCACTTGAGCACGAAGGAGGATGGATCAGGCCCAGTGAAAAGTCCAGCGAGCCGGATCGAGCGGGATTGAACCCATAAGCGAGAATTCAAAATATATCTGCATATGCCCGCATGCTCATCTTGATTCAAACGAGGTTTGAACGAGATTGAACACCATCGTGATCTGATCGAACGATGTTCGAACGAGCTTGAATGCCATTCGGATGAGATTGAACGGATTTGAAGCACACTTGAATGACCTAGGATAGACTCGATTGCTTCATTTGTGAGAATCTAATCCAGTACAATTAAAACGGACTCTAGTAGTACTATTGTAGATCGTGTGCGTACCCGAAGGTGGGCACGCGCGCGGGCGGCCCAGCCCCACTGCATGGATCGCCGCCGTCACATGCCCCGGCGTATACCAAGCTTCCTACTTCAACGCAGGTTGTCTCTTCTTCTAAATAAATCGAGAGAAAGAACAAATGAAAACGAGCTTCCCAACTCCTTGACCTCAGTGTTGTATCTCTGCGATATCGAGGAAATCAGTAACAAATTTACAGACCCACTTCACAGAATGGCATGGCTCACCTTGATCTCACTGGACGTCTTCACGGACTTCCAGTGGCTATCAAAGGCCTCCTTTGATCCACCAAGATTCTTCGACAACCATTCCCTCGCGCAAAGGGCACTGCCCAAGAGGATGCCAGTGTTATACCTGCATAAACGGTGCACAGGGGAAGGTCGGACTTACCGGGCGGTAATGAGATGGTCTTCGATGACGAGAGGAGCCGGCGCCTTCACTTTCTTCTTCGAATTGACGGTGCTGGAGGCTGGCGAGCCTGTCATAGTGGAAGTCGTTGACGAGCTGTCAAGTGGCCGAGAACTGTTATGGCCTGCCCCGCCTGTCTGGTTACGAGCTTCGGTGCGCACCTGTAACGGACGCCCAGCATACGATCGCCCGCCACCCTACCTTTATATACCGTTCCCGCACCTACCGTCTCGCTAAGCGATTGCCTCCTGGCTCCTCCCCGTCGCCTCTCCTGCCCGTCTCCCCGCTACCGTGAGCCTCTCCGAGGTCAAGCGCGTCCTCTAATCCGATCCCGCCTTTCCGCTCGTCTCCGACTCGCCCGACTTCCGCGCTCCTGCGCTCCGCGACCGTAACAAGAACCATCACTTTGCGCGACAGTTCCGGCACCACTATGGAAGCGTGAGTGGACTGACAAATAGAGAAGCGGGCGACATACGTTACAGCTTGCGTCGCCGTGATAAGGAACTGCAGTGAAGGGTGCAGCACACCAAACGTCGGAGGAAGAGGCATCGATGCAACACCCCGCGGAGTGGATGCCGCGGGACTGGGGGGCGCGGGCGCGTCACCCAGGAGCGATGATGGCGGCGGAGGCGACTCGCTGCTAGCCGGCGAGTGCGTGATGGACTGCTCTCCTCCAGCGGGGGGCGCGGGCGTCGGCAGGGTGAGGCCGGCGGGGGCAGCCCCAGTCGGGGTGATCGACGGCAAGTTTGGGGGTACAGCGTGCAGTGGGGGCCCTGGCGGCGTTGGGGGTGGGGACACTTGATGCGTTTCGGGTGTGCCATCCGAGAGCGCACCACTTATTGGCGCTGTCCATGAAGGCGGCATGGGTGAGAGCATGGACGACGAAACCGCAGACTGCAAGAGTATGGATGACATACCACTGGCACTGGCGAGAGTTGTCTGACACACAGATGCCGACGACGTGACGTGCGTGGCCGTGGAAGGTGCTTGCGTGGCCGACGAAGATGATCCGTGTGGTCCAGAAGTCGTCTTCGTGACGTCCGGCACATTGGACGCGCCATTGAAGAGAGCGTCGGGAATGGACGTGGCGGACATGTAAGGCGACGGTGGCATGCTCATAGATATGCAGCTCTCGAATATATTGGCTCTATGTACAGCAAAGACCTGTCAGCGAAGCATGCACAAATACATTGAATAGAAAACTCACCCAAGTGCGCTCCGTATGACGAAGGGAGATCGGGGAGCCGGGTCAGGTGCCCGAGCGAGATTGATAGCCTGCGTGTCCGTCAAGTTCGCAGGAGTAGACATCTTCTGGCGACCAAGTTTTGCAGAGCGTGTAGGCTTTGGCTGAGAAGCACGTCGCTTGCGCGAAGCCTCCCTGCTTGTCTCTTGCCCGTCATCAGAATCTTCGTCATCGGAATCGATGTTGCCGCGCTTGCGCCAATTGGGGTACGTCAGAGTCGCAATCGCGTGTGCTTTCCATTGGTCGGCGCAGTAGCGGAGCTCTCTCGTTGGCGTAGTCGGTCCTGACGTCGACGCGAGCTTTGCCCCATGTGGCAGGCATAGTGCGACTGCTTTCACGAAAGCGCGACCAGATCTCGCGAGCGTGGTTGCGCATGGCTTTCGCCCGATGCCCATTGACGACCTGGCCATCGCTATTGTTGAAGATACGCGCGCGAGCGCCAACGACGATTAGATAACCGGACCGGACTCACGCGCTTTGATCGTTTACTTACAAGCACTCGCATTAGGGCCGTTTGGAATCTTACGATGGTGCACCGGAGTAATCGTGAGTTGGAGCATTGGAGTCTGGCCAGTGGCCCCGCGTGACTGTCACCGTGACATGCCGCCGAGTAACTCACCCGCTGAGGCGATCATACCACCGCGCCGACCTCGTCTTCCTAACCTCTTCGGAGTCCCTCGCCTTCATCACGGTGGTCAGCGTGGACATTGTAACGATGATCGATGACGGGACGCGACCTGCAGCCACTTCGCGTGCGCCAGCCCGGTCACACTGCAGATGCGTGACGGGCGTTGACCAGCGCGCCGCGATGCCGTGGAGCAGCGGAGTCGCGGAGGTGGAGCCATCTTCGCGCACTATAGTGTGTTTCTAAACGGCCCTATTGCCCTTTGTCTTTACGTGTACTATATACTCTAGCTACGCGCTTGTACGGAATCTGACTCGCTTTCCCCCCACACTCTGCGTGAACTTCTACAGGTTATGAGCCCTGCTTCGTTCTGAAGCGGGATCCACTCAACCTTCTCCACACATACTTGCTTACCTGATTCTATCCCACTACGTCATCCAACGCCGAGAAGATCGGGAACATCCTTCAGACAAATATTGAGCCACTCGCGGGATCCAGCGACTATCCACGGTGGCGTCGGCAGTTGACTGCGCTTCTCAAGCTCGCGAAGGTCTCGGACATCGTCTTCGGCAAAGTCACATGTCCTGCGAACGCCGACGGAAAGAATGCGGCCGCCATCACGGAGTGGGAAGACAAAGACCTCGCGGCGCTCGTCGGCATGCAACTCAAACTCGGCACGGTAGCCACCGCGCTCGTAGCCGACTCGAGCACAAGCCACGAAGCCTGGACCAAGCTGGAGAAGAATTATCAAGTGCGCGGTGTGGGACGCATCATCTTCCTCTAGAGGAAGATGATGGACTCACATTACTCGGATGGAGAGGACGCGGACGAGTGGGTGCAACAGATGGGGATGTGGAGGGCCGAGCTCGCGGACATGGACAGGGCGGTTTCGGACGATGAGTTCTCAATTACTCTTCTCTGCGGTCTTCCGGAGTCCTGGCGGGGGTCCACGAGCGCGATTGAGGAGAGCGCGCTCAAGGACCCGGGTGCAGACTGCTAGCGGGCCCTAGGGCGTACCCGTCGTCGCAACGAGTGATTAGATTACGGTAGTTACATGCTATAATCCATCTATTTATTGCTTCCACTGCGCTGCAACATGGGTGTACGGGGTCCGTGAGGTTGGTTGAGGCTAGAGAGCGTATGCTCTTCGTTTACACTGTCTATGCGCAACCTATCCTGCGGGACTGGCTGGCTGATAATCACCTTTCCAGGCCAGGCAAGACAATAGATCTCGCCCGGGATATCCTCCATTTCCATCACCTGGCCAGCCCAGGATAGTCCAGGCTTCGGGTCGGAGTTTGGACTTATCCTGGGGTGGTGAGACCTCATATGCACACCTGGATAACTCCCGGATCGGCAATCTATCCATGATCCTAACCCGAGTGTGCAAGAAATGGGTTCACGCAGTGATAGTCGGTGGGGAAATCAAGCTCCTCAACCGGAAGGGGCGCGCGTACGCATCTGGACGCCGTGGCGGTGGCTATCTCTATGAGATGGACGGGACTCCCGAAATTCCGGAGGTATCGTACCCCGGTGCTGTGTCCAGACCTACAGTAGTGATTCGCCAGGTGCATCCGTTGTGACAGCCTATCAGCAGGTGCGGATGCATCTGGTGCCAGCCGGCCCGGTTGCGCTCGACACCGCCTTCCCCAAGGGCGCTCGCGCACCCCTTGGGACAGCGTTGCACCCAGATGTCCAGACACTGGCGCCTCAGGCCTCAGGCGTCGTCACCTGAGCTCGCTGTCTTGGACAGTGAGCTCGCCTCCCTCTTTGTTTCACACCACATCTTGTATATGATTAGTGATAAAAATATATTTATTAGTAAACTGCTACATAGGTGTGCTGGTAAGTAACACCATGCCCCTCGGGACAAGGCGGAGGAGGTGGGCGAGTGGGCGACGTGAACGCGGGAGACGCGGAGGCGGGCGATGCGAAGGCAAGCGACGCAGAGGAGAGCGACGTGGAGGGCTCGCGGAGGGACGCGGAGGGCTCGTGGAGGGACGCAGAGGGCCGGGACGAGGCGGAGTAGGTGGTGGGCGACGCGGGCGGGGGTGTGCGGTGCGAAGGGGGAGGAGGCGCAGAGCACCGAGGGCGGGCGACGCGAGCGGAGGAGACGACGCGGGCGGGGGAGGCGACGTCGGCGGAGGAGGTGACGTGGGCCGGGACGACGCGGAGGAGGGGCCGGAGGAGGCGGGCAACGCGGAGGAGGAGGAGCGTGGAGGACGAGGGCGGACACGGAGGCGGGGGGCCGGGACAAGGCGGAGGAGGGGGAGCCTAGCGACGCACGTGGGTGTGGGCGGCGGGAGGCGGCGCGGACGCGGGCGACATGGAGGAGGGTGATGACGCGGAGGTGGGCGACGCGCGTGGAGGAGGAGGGCTGCATGGAGGCGGGCGAGACACGGAGGAGGGCGACATGGAGGTGGGGGAGGCGGAGGAGGGTGTGCGGGCGCAGGCGGGCTGCGCGAAGGTGGGCGGAGAGCAGCGTGGAGGTGGGCGAGGTGGACACGGAGGTCAAGGCTGGCAGGCCGGATGGGCGAAGCCGGAGAGGAGAGGTGAACATTGGGAGTGCAGGAGGGCGGAGCGGGGGACTCACCAAAACAAGGGCCGCGGTACATCGCCGCGGCCCCCTAATTCCAATCTCCATGCTGAGGACGTCCGAATGGACGTCCTCCCGCGGTGTGGACGCAGCCGGCAAAGTGGGCGAAGGACGGCATGGAGGTCGGGGTTGAGGTCGAGGGAGGAGGAGGAGGAGGGGAGCTGAACGGTGTCACCAGGTGACACCGGAGTCCAATAGCAGACGAAGGACGACTGTATAGTCGCTATCGTCTGCCTGGACGGTGGAGGCGGAGCAGGAGGAGGAAGAGGAGGCGGGGAGGAGAGCAAGGACGGCGGGAGGGACGCGTGGCGTGCATCACAGCCACGCGTCGATGCGCGCCACGCGTCCTTGCCGCCCACCGAGGCGCGTCTCCACGGGCGCGCATCACGGATCGCCAGATCCGTCCAGATGCATCCGTAGCTGCCGATAGGCTATCGCAACGGATGCACCAGGGAAATCACCTGTGCTCTTTGAGGGCGGTCAGCTTGGCCTTGGATGGCGGAGCTAGGGATGGTGTGGGTGGGGAGGGGCCCGACCGGGCCGAGCCAGGGCTTGCAGCTTTTGGCAGAGACCGCCGGCTTGTGCGCGGCAGCCTTGCCCTCACGACGGGCAACGGCCCAGCTTCGGAGCCCGAAAAGGCGTAGAAAAAGCCTGTCAAAGGTGTCTTTTCTGCAGCCTTTTGTGCGCATGTGAAAAAGGCACTAAAATGGGCAATTTCTCTGTGTGATTTACAGGGTGCCGAAAACGATTGATGAAGAGACCTTTGGTACCCATTCCAATAACGGGCGTTACTTATCATTCGTACTCACTTGTTTGTTACTCACGTACTATACACGTTCTATTGCCTTTACAATGAATTCTATTGTCTTTGTTCTGAGCACAGTATTCTGTCGTGCCAAAAAATTCGCCCAAAACGTCACCTTTCAGGATACTCTATGACACACACAAACTTGACATAAAAGTTCGCCTTTCCCACCCTTTTTCTCCCTGGAAAAATACCTGCCGGAAATGACACCTTTGACAGGCTTTTCCTACGCCTTTTCGGGCTCCGAAGCTGGGCCGTTGCCCGTCGTGTGTCTCCTTCGCTCGTTCCTCGCTTCCACTCCAGACCATACATCAATGAAGCTTCCCCACGTCATGCGGTGCAACATCACGCATCAGAGATCTCCTCTTTATAGTAATATGATTCCGGAGCATTGATCAGCAGATGATCGATGGATGCGCCACAAGTCACGCGTCCATTACACACGCCTCCTTGCTTCTCACCGTCACCTCTGGATACCGAGAAGTCGTTTTTTGTTCATTTCTTTTAATACTCTCAAAACACGACAAAAATGCCCCCCAAGAAGGTGCGTGCAAGGCGTGCGGTCTATTAGAACGCTACGAACCGATTGACAGCTGCTGCAGAAGCAGCAAGTGACGGAGTCCCAGGTGAGCGCGGGTCGGAGGGTGCTATTGGTGAGTAAGTTGATTTGACGGGCGGGTCTCGCGCATAGGATGGCGCCTCAACATCGTCGGGAAGTGGGACGAATAAGCGGACGCCCAAGGAAGCCAAGGAGCTGAAGGAGCTGAAGGCCGCCAAAGAGCCTTCTCAAGCGAAGGCTGTCAAGGCCGAGGTCGAGGTCGAGGTGGTGGGTCGGATTTTGGAGCTCTCGCAAAAGCCGAGCACGGCAGTAGTGGGCGCGAGGAAGACCGGGTCGAGCCAGACGGACGCAAAACTGGAGTCGGACTCCGTGCAGCAGGCGCAGGCCGACAACGCGTTCCTCGGGTTCGGGCAGGTCGACTTCTGCAGCGAGGAGAAGATGCTGTGGACGTCGGGGTCGACGAACAACCGTGCGCTGAACGCGGTCCACGTCGGCAACATCGCCGAGAACCTCGTGCTCGAGGGAGTCCTGGATGACGACCCCACGCGCATGTTGATCTTCGAGATATACCCGGAGCATCTCGACAAGGAGACCGTGTTGGCAAAGACGGCAGACGACCCAGCGAGCTTTCCGCTCGTCAAGTTGAGCGAGCAGGGCAAGAACTTCTCGCACCTGTTGCTGGCGGGAAACCATCGTCTGCACGCGCTGCTGGAGCGGCAGAAGAAGGATGCGGCAATCCTCAAGGCGCAGCTCCGTCGGCTAAAGGAGCTCGAGATTTCGGTCGGTCTGACGGAAAAAGGCCAGGTGACGCTGCCACAACTCCCGGACCATGAGAAGATTACAGAAATGAAGCGAGATATCGCGGCCACGGAGGACCGGATCGAGCACATGCGGTTCTGGCGGTGCAAGTTTTATCACTCTGGTCAGCAATTGTGGGTAGCACACGGGGTGACGTGGGCTGACGCGCGGGCGCAGGCAGGCTCACGGATCTGGCGCGTCGTCACCTCGCGCGGAACATCACGCAGCACATCCGCGTTCAGACGGGGTGGGAGGCGTTCAACGCGAACATTGCGGTACTGCGGGATGCGGTCATGTCAGGGGCGGTGACGGAGGAGCCCGGATCGGGCAAGTTGTGGGAGGAGCAGCTCAAGAAGCTCCCGAACAAGCTCGACCACAACAACCAGTACGGGTCGTTGATTCGTGGTCGGTTTTCTGCGAAGTTCTGCCTGGAGCTTGCGCTCTGGCCTTACCTGCAAAACGACGACAACCTGAACCCAAAGGAGCTGAAGAAGTTCTTCAAGGCAGCGTCAGAGACGAGTGGGGTGCTGCCGAACGGACAGGTGGGTTTCGATGGTCGAGCGTAGTCCTCGCGATTGACGGACGCTTTGCAGTTTGTGCTGGAGCTGCTGTACCGGTCGACGTCGCAGCTCAGCTTCTTGGCGTCCCCGTCGAACCTGACGGCCGGGAGTAGCGCGCACATCGTGGCGATGGAGTACGTGGACACGTTCGCAGCGTTCCGGAAGGCGACGGAGGAGGTGCAGGCAATGCGCAACGGCGGCGAGGAGCAGCCGTACCGTAAGATCGAGGTGCACCAGACGCTCCACGCTGCGCGCGAGAAGTGGGTGAAGTTGTCGAACACGAGTGCGGTTGGGGTGAAGACGCCTCAGCGATGCGTGTTCCCGAACGAGCTGTTCGAGGAGATCGACGATGTCTTCATTTCGACGCTGCACCCGTTCATCCTGGCGCGAGAGGCGATGGGGTCGATGCAGAGCTCCGGATGGCGTGAAGGGTTGAAGAACTACTGGCGGGGAGTGACAAGAGTGGGGAAGAAGCACTGGCGCCGCGCGTTGGACCGTGCGGTGATGGAGGCGGAGGCGGAAATCGAGGAGGAGACGACGAAGAAGAAGGCGAAGGGTAAGCTGGGGTACACGGACATGGCGACTGAGGCAACGCGTGCGACGCTCGCGGTCGCGGCGCTGAAGGGGGTGCGGGAGAAGATTGACATGCTTTACTACATGCAGATGGCGGGGGCGGAGCTGGCGTTGCCGCTGCCGACAAAGACGTTCATGACGGACCTCTTCAAGTTCGCGGGGAAGATTGAGCAGAGCACGAGTCTGGTGAGTCGTCGTTATGGGGTGGGGTCGCTGGAATGGGTAGACTGGTCATGCGTTATATCGCACATGCGCGATCATTCGCGCCCACGCAAGTCGTCACTCCTGGCTGGACTCTGTACGAAATGTCCAATGATGTTTGTCACTTGCAGCTGGCGCGCACCATCAATCCCGCTCTCGACTACCTCATGTTCAGGACGGGCGAGAACAGCCACGACCACTTTGGCGAAATCCGTCACTGGGCCACCAACTGTGGGGACCACGAGAGTTGCGAGTGCGTGTGGCAGCTGGTAAGTCGGACGTGTGTATCCGGGGTCGGCTTCGTTAAGGCAGGTTTTCTCAGTTCCTGGTCTGGTTCCTCGACCACGGGGAGGGCTTTTGCGCGCTGGAGGTTATGTGCAAGGCGGGCGACATCGAGCTCCTCCGCTACATGTCTCGCTCATCCCTCAAGACGCTGAGCGAAGTCGGCTTGGCTCTCCTCGCCGACCAAGGCATCAACGAGTCCCACGCGCCGCTTCAAACCGTGCTGGACCGCAACGACAACTTCCGTCAGACGGTCCGCAATCTGCATGCAGCCACCAACACCGCCATCCACGTCGACGCGTCGAGCGGGTACGGAAAGGGCAAGAAGAAGGAAATCGCGAGGCCGACGCTCGATAAAGTCGACGAGCTTGTCAGGCGCATCGTCGCGGACCTCAGCATCAGCGACCTGCCCCCCAGCCTCATCAAACTGCTCCCTCCGCTCTGCACGACGCCCAAGTGGCGGCACAAGTGGACCCGTCCCTCCCAGAACGACAAGCAGACGATGCCGATGGGCATCGCGATGCAGATGGCGCTGTCCTGGGAGGCCATCAAGCGCTTCGTCGTGCTGCCCTTCTACTCCCCCCTCGGCAAGGAAGTCTTCTCGAGCTTCGCTCGGTTCTGGGCGACACATTCCACTGCTCGCCACCCTCCCAACCACTTCGTGGTGCCAGGGAAGGTCTTGCAGAGGTGGTCGTGGTTCGCGTTCGAGTGGGAGGACGGTCTGTCGGTACAGGAGCGGACGACGCCGGAGCTTCAGGACATCGTCAGGGTGCTCGGCGAGTCGGCGGAGGCCTACAAGATCAACCCATTGCTGGCGTACTTCCGTGGGGCCCTCGTGAGGCAGCATAATCTGGCCGAGGGCTTCAAAGCGATTCGCGAGCTTACAAAGTGCATCGCCTTCCACAAGGACGTCTTTCTGCAAAAGGATGAGAAGAACGGGTTTGTGATGAAGGCGTTGCATCTGGGGGAGGTCGAAGAGCAGACGGTCGCGCCGATCATTGACTGGTTGCAACAGGTGAGAGGGGTGGAGGATGGGTACGGCGAACGACTGACGAGACGCACTGCACAGGCCATGATTTGGAACGTCAACCGGCAGAGCGTCCGCCAGTCAGACTACACTTCCTTCTGGGTGTCGCCGAAGGACCGCCCATACGAGTACGTTGCGCCGGCGATCCTCGCATACCCGAAGGCGGCGGACATCTTCGCGTTCTCCAGCCTCGCAGACTACTCGACGAGGTTCAACCGCGAATTCTGCGAAGAAAGCGATCGTCGAAAAATCAAGGTCGAGGAATACGTTGAGGGTAAGCTCAGAGATTTTGACATTGAGGCGCATCAAAAGGCTCTCGACAGCGAGAAAGCCGCTCTCGTCCTTGCAGCCATGAATTCGGGGACGTCGTCTGGGGTAGAACGAGAGGAGGCCGTGCCACAGTTCGCGAGGCAGGACGAGGACGTGACAATGGAGGACGGGTCGGAGGACGCGATGAAGGCCCGCGGAGCCGAGGACGGGGGACGTGCTGCTGCGGAGGCCAAGTTCCGTAAGGAAGCCGGGGCCAAGTTCAAGTACCCGCAGGACCTTCTCGGTATCGGTATGGACAGTGAACACTTGTCGTACGCGGCCTTCCCTGCTGCCAAGAAGGAGGTGAAGAAGAAGGACAAAGCGGCGCACGAGGAGAAGATGTCGAAGCAGCGGTCGCCGAGTCGCCGAGTGCTTCCGTATTTTGGTGGCGCTCCTGACTTCGACACTCACCTCAACGAGCTGCGGGCCATTTTTGTGGCGCACAACGATGACGGCGAAAATGAGCAGGAGCAGGAACAGGAAAACCTGGCTGCCGCTATCACCCGTGCCGATGAGGACTCGTCCTCCGAGGACGGCGCGAAGTCGACCCTTGACGACGGTGCCCCGCATGTCCATTCCCCCACCACGACGACGACGACGACGACGACGACGACGACGACGACGACGACGACGACGACATGGACTACGCACCGAGTGCCGAAGCGTCCGGGACTTCGACGACGTCCTTGCAATCGACAAACGGTGGGTCCTCGTGGATCTCTGAAGGGGACGAGGTCACGATGGGGAGCATGGGGCAGGACGTTGATCCGGGTGAGTGGCTGGAACCATCTGATCTGATCTGGGCGATGGATCGCCTGTATTTGAGCCGCCCACCTGGTGGTTCTTATCTATCCCCTCTAAGTGGTGTGGTTCATGTGCGCAATAGCTGTCGCACTTTCACTCACTCTCCATCGTCATCGGAGGGAGACTAACACTCATAACGCACACAGAAACAGAGGAGGTCACCCCGAAGAGCAGAAAGACTCGCGATGCCTCCGGCAAACGCCTTGCCGACCAGGTCGAGCGTACGTTCGTACCTGTCCTCTCCTGTGCGCTCCTCGTTCACCATCTTGCCCTTTCACAGCGAACCAGGACGGTTCCCCCAAGCGGCCTCAGAAGAAGAAGGCTCGGCCCAGCAACGACGGCAGTCACGACGGAAGTGATGACGGTCGGGCTTCTCCCAGCGGCCTCTCGCTGTCCGGGCTCTCTGCGTCCCTCCACGAGGTTATCCAGCGCAAGCCGCAGCTCAGGCTGAAGCCACGCGCGAAGCCAAGCCGCTCCCAC